ATACTGTACTGAGGTTACAGTATGATTCCATTTTCAGTGAACTTCTGAACCACATTGTAGATCAATGATCCAAACAAATTTTTTATGAATGCGACACCTCCATCGAGCCATATATCAGATGTTATCCTAAGCCCACTGGACTTTGAAGTAGCCATAGACAGCATGCCCATGCACTCTGCACCAGGCCCAGACTCCTGGAATTCTATATTCATCAAGAATTGCAAAAACACCACTATCACAGGCCCTGAACATCTTTTGGAAACAAAGCCTAGATACTGGTGTTATCCCTGACACATTTACAACAGGAAAGATTGTTTCACTTGAGGAAGGAGGTAGTAAAGCTGATGCAAAACATTATAGGCCAATAGCTCTATTGTCGCACATCAAAAATCTTTTAGAATGCTAAGAAGTAATATCACAAAATGCATGGAATCAGTGTCTACATAACCCTGGGCAACATAGGTTCAGGATTTGGTGCTCCTGCTTCTCTCAATTGCTAGACCACTCTGATGTGGCCTTAGATGCCATGGAAGACAAACAAAATTACTTGTATATAACGTCTGTATATAGTGAATAAAAGCAAAAACAGTATGGTGGGAGGAGAATGTGGGGGAGTGAGGTGTTGAGGGAGCGAGTGGCAGCGAGTGGCTGGCTGGTGTGTGGTGGTCACGCCTCGTTACTTTTTGACTCATAATAGCAACTTAGTGGTTCGTTATGGTGAACAAAACATGCAGTACTCATATATAACCTGTGTATATAGTGTAATAACCGACAAAGTATATGTTCACTGTTTGATGAACATAACTGAATCAACAATATGCACACCATATTTTTGAGTACAGCGATGATTCACTCATTTTATTATATAAATATATCACATTACACACTATTGAATAATATTACAGCAAAAAAACTACGAAAAATCAATCAGAGACATTGAAATAATTAGGTAATTATCTCTTTGTGGCAACTCCGGCCTGACAGCTGGCGAGCAACAGACCGCCTGGGACGCACGCTGAGTCAGCGCCTGTTTTTTGCCAGACTTCCCCACCCTATAGCGGGCAATATATGCCACTTACGAATTTTTTATTATTTTCCCATGATCAGTGAACACAAATTAACAGGCTTAGAAGAATATTTTTTTTTTTTTTTTTTTTTTTGGTATGCGCCTGTGGGTGACATGCTAAATAGCCAGGCGCCATTTAAGGGTTAAAGAGCAGAAGCTCCGTGCGTCGTTGGAGAGCATGAAGCTCCCCCACCCCGACCACCAGAAGCCAATGCCAACAGAAAAAAAAGAGCACTGGAGAAACAATCTTGAACTGAACGGGCCACCATGAACCATGGGAGAGAGAGACAGGAGAGCACCCTGTCCAAGGACCAGGATGGCTCAGGCGGCGCATGAGCAGGCTAGAGGTGAAACAAAGCATGAGAAAGCTTACAGAACGGGACCAAAGATTCATCCTCCCTGAACACAAGCTGAAGAGGCTCTGCCAGTGCCGTGTGATGAGTAGGCAGTATTAAGATCAATACCGTCTGTCTGATATTATATCATTTTTCTCCAGGTATTCTACCCATTTAGTTTTAATTATTTTTTCCAATATTTAGACTATTACACTTGTCAATGATACAGGTCTATAATTGAGGGGTCTTCCCTGCTGCCACTTTTGTAGATTGGAACTATGTTAGCCTTTTTCCACACATCAGCTCCAACTCCTGTACACAGGGATGCCTGAAAAATCAGTTGAAGTGGAATGCTGAGCTCAGGTGCACATTCTCTCAGAACCCATGGTGAAACTCCATCTGGACCAACTGCTTTGTTCTTAGCTCCTTGAGCATTTTTTCCACTTCATCTCTAGACACCTCTATGTGCTCTATGTTGTTCTCTGGAATTCTTATTGTGTCTGGTTCCCTGAAGATTTAATTTTGTACAAACATACTTCGGAACTTTTCGTTTAATGTTTCACACATTTCCTTTTCATTTTCCGTGAATCTATTTCACATTTTCAACCTCCGAATATTATCCTTTACCTGCAATTTGTTGTTTATGAATTTATACAATAGACCTGATTCTATTTTACATTTGTCTGCAATCCCTTTTTCAAAATTTCTTTCTGCCTCTCTCCTCACTGCTGTCTAGTTGTATCTCGCATCTTTGTATCGCTGGTATCTTTGGGGGTTTGGCCTCTTTCTATATTAATTCCATTTTTGTGTCTTTTGGTTTCTGGCCCTCTCGCAATTTCTGTTGAACCAATCCTGTTTCCAAGTTCTGCATTTCTGCTTTGGTATAAATTTTTTTGTGCCTTTATCATATATTTCACAAAACTTGAAATACATCTCATTTACCTCCTTGCCTAGCAACAAGTCTGTCCAATTATATTCACTAAAAAAAATTCTAAGGTCGCCATAATGTCCTCTCCTGAAGTCAGGTTTTTCAACTGCTTCAACTTCCTTATTTTCTTCCAGATTATAATGCATTGCATACTTCATTGCATCCCAAAAAGACATGGTCACTTTTACTCAAAGGAGGAAGGTACTGAATGTCAAATATCTTTTCCTCCTTCCTGGTAAATATCAAATCTAGCATGAAGGGAACATCCCCTTCCCTCATCCTCGTAGCTTGTTTAACATGTTGATACAAGAATGTTTCCAGGATGAGGTCTACAAATCTACAGGTCCAAAAATCTTCTGTTCTAGCTTCATATGCTTCCCAGTCTATGGATTTCAAGTTCAAGTTGCCGACTATCAACAGTCTTGATCTATCTTTATCAGCTCTTGCTATAATCTCTCATTATTGTTATAAGACCCTCTCGTTTACTATCTAGCTCCTCCTTTGTCCATGTGCTGCTTAGCGGTGGACTGTATGCATTTATGATCATTAGTTTATCATCCTCATTGCAGATTTCTAGTGCTATTACGTCAACTTCTCGTGGATTGGCAATCATTATTTCGTTCACCTTTAGGTGTTCTTTCACCAGCATAGCAACGCCACCGCTTTTCCTAATTTTTCTGTCCCGTCTCCAAACTGAGTAGCCTCTTGGGAATATGACCTCATTTAAAATAACATCTTCAAGTTTTGTCTCCGTGAGTGCAACAATGTCTGGTGTCTGCAGCTGTATTATATCACTTAACTCCAGTATCTTCGATCTCACTCCATCTACATTGGTGTATACTATTTTCAGGAACATGTGATGTTATTTCTGTGTGCAGGTTTAGGACCAGCCCCGCTACTATTTTCCACATGTAAATTATTATGCATCTCTCCCGCCTGCAATGAAGGGAATACAGATTTAGGCTCTTTAGTCGGTCCCAGCAGTTTAAATGTTTTACTGAATGGATTCTAGCAGTAAAGGATCTCTGCACGCTCTCCAGGTCAGCAATTTCTCCTGCTTTGAAAAGGGCTGTCATTGTGCAGCAGTATTCCACTCTAGAGAGCACTAGCATTTTGAAAAATATCATCATCGGTATAGCATCTCTAGTATGAAAGGTTCTTGTTATCCAACCTGTCATTTTTCTTGCAGTTGTGACAGCTACTTTATTATGTTCTTTAAGGGTAAGGTCTTCCGACATGAGTACACCCAAATCCTTTACGTTGCCTTTTCGTTCTATGTTATGATTTGACTGAGTTTTTTACGTGGTTTCCATTTTTATACTTTCATTTTTTCCATAGCGCATGAGCTGGAACTTATCTTTGTTAAACACCATATCATTTTCTGTAGCCCATAGAAAGACCCGATTTACATATGATTGGAGGTTTGCCGTGTCCTCTATGTTGCCTACTCTCATGAAAATCCTAGTGTCATCTGCAAAGGATGATACAGTGCTATAGATTGTGTCCTTATCTATGTCTGATATGAGGATGAGAAAAAGTACTGGAGCAAGCACAATACCCTGTGGGACTGAGCTCTTCCCGGTTGATGGACCGGATTTTATTTTGTTGACTATTACACAATGGGTTCTTTTAGTCAGTAAATTGTAGATACATCTACCTATTTTTTCGGTAATTCCTTCTGAACGTATTTTATGTGCAATAACACCATGGTCACATTTGTCAAAGGCTTTGCAAAATCTGTGTAAATTACATCAGCATTTTGTTTGTTTTCCATGGCATCTAATGCCATGTCATAATAGTCCAGCAACTGTAACAGGTAAGAGCATCCTGTTCTGAAGCTATGTTGTCTGGGATTATTGAGATGCTGTGATTCTATGTATTTTGTGATCTTACTTCTTAGCACTTTCAAAGATTTTTATGATGTGCGATGTTAGTGCTATCGGTCTGTAATTTTTTGCCTCTGCTTTATTTCCTCCTTTATGGAGTGGTGCTATCTCTGCTGTTTTTAGTATGTCAAGGATAATGCCAGTATCTAGGCTTTGTGTCCAAAGAATGTGAAGGCCCTGCGATAGTAGTTTTTTACAGTTCTTGATGAATATGGAGTTCCAAGAAGAAGTGTTTATGGCTTCTTCAAAATCCAGTGGGGGATAGGGTGACGTCTGATATATGATTTGATGCTGTTATCGTATCTGTGAAAAATTCATTTGGGTTATAAATCTTTAGTGCGTTTAGTGGGTCGCTGAAAACAGAGTCGTTCGGCTTCTTCAGTAACTCGCTCATTTCTTTGTTGTCATCAGTGAAAGTTCCATCTCCCTTTTGCAGGTGACTGATACTAGATGTGGTTTTTGATCTTGATTTTGCATAGGAGAAAAAATATTTCGGATTTCCTACCCGGAATTTTTAATTGTGCATCAAGAACAAACCCAACTGTACTACCCTTTGCCACACGAGGCAAAATTTCATTACAGATACGTTTTCTAGGTAGATCCATCATATGAGAGGTTTAAATTCAAATTGAGATCAGTGAAATTCACCTACAGAGGGTGGTGAAAATTAGTGTGTGAATTCAATTATCTTATTTTCAGATATCCGGACATCTGGAAATGCCAAATGGTCCAGATAACTAATGTCGCACTGAATACATAAAAACATAAACTTTTAAGTGCCTAACCTTGATGCTGGTGTAGCCTCACAATAGACAAGTTCAGCACCATATTCTTTGATAGCATCACACTTCACTTTAGGAGTCCCTCTGGGAACAACCACACTGCAAGCAAGACCAGCGCATTCTGTGAAAAAATATGCACTGAGCATGTGGGAAGCCACTTTTTCAGTAAAAGTAATTCCGACGCTTTCAAAGATACTGTACAGTACATATAGTGATCAATACTTATTACAATCACAAAACAGTTGCAATGTCTAGTTTATATTTTGATTAATTTCAATGTTTTAGTATTTTGTAAGTTTGTTTCAGTTTTATTATTTCAATGACCCTTTATGAATGGGGAGAATGTTTATATTAGTGTATGTAGAATAAGTAGCTTTTCCACGCTTTTGTGCAACATTTCTCTACTCTCCGCTTCTTGCCACTCAAAGAAGAGCTGCTTCTATTCGAAGGTGGTGGTGTGTTCTAGACTGCACAGTGGAGCATCAATCTCACTGTTGTGAGGTGTTTAGCTCAGTGTAAATATTATTGGATTTGTGATAAATATAACCCTGTTGTGTGTGTGGTTCCTCTCATGCATGTTAACCCTTGCGCTGCATGCCTATTTACAGACGATGAGTCACAATAACTGAAGATATGATGACCAAACCGCACACCAAAATATGAAGAGACGATGGTGTTTCAGTCTGTCCTGGACCATTATTAAGTCGATTGTGATAATGGTCCAGGATGGACCAAAACGTTGTCGCCTCTATCTTCTGGTGTGTGGTTTGGTCTGCATACCTATTATTCCCTAACAACCCTTGAACTATATGTTTAACACATCTCTAACCCTGTCCATGGAGGACAGAAGAAAATGTATATATGCTGGTTAACATTGTAAATGTGTGGCCACGTCTGTGGTAGAAAATAATAAAAAAAAATAAATAAAAAAAAACTAAAAAAAATCCCTAACAATCTTATAATGTGCGGGGAAAAATAAATGAAAATATTTTTCCTTTTTGATACTGTATTATTAAAATGCATTCCCTGATCATAGAAAAAAACCCAGTGTTGCATGTAATGAAATGCCAATTTCTGGGTGAGCCCCGCTAGCTCCCAGAAGCTACTAAGCTGATATAGTGCCAAACTACAAGGTGCCATCAGTCATGGAGCTTTTAGGCCTACCATGAACCCTGAGCTATAACCTGACCCCCTCTAGAAAGGTGCAGGGAGCAGCAGCACGTATGATAAAAATTTATATGAAATGATTCATGTCTGCCACCCACTGGGGAAGGCACCCAGAAAGTCAGATAAACAAAACAGGCCACCACAGCCTCCAAACCACTGAAAGAACTTCCCCCTCAGTTATATGAAAAATGGAAACAACCCGATTCCCTGGAGGGAGGGATGGAGGTTATCTTGAGGTTATCTTGAGATGATTTCGGGGCTTTAGTGTCCCCACGGCCCGGTCCTCGACCAGGCCTCCACCCTCAGGAAGCAGCCCGTCACAGCTGACTAACACCCAGGTACCTATTTTACTGCTAGGTAACAGGGGCATAGGGTGAAAGAAACTCTGCCCATTGTTTCTCGCCGGTGCCCGGGATCGAACCCGGGACCACAGGATTACAAGTCCAGCGTGCTGTCCGCTTGGCCGACCGGCTCCCTTTTCAGTTTTTTTCAGTTTCAGGGTTTCAGGGAGCCACCAGAGCTCACCAAGAAGTTAGTATTTCATTACATTCACGTGCTGATTTTTTTGGAGCCCCTTGTGGCTCCCTGAAGCTATCTACACAGAAAGAAGGAACAACAGTGCAACAACCAGGGAGGAGAAAGCTCCGCAGAAAACAAGACAAAAACAAGACACGCTGCCACAAAAAGCGACCCCTAAAGCCAAATAAAGTCATCAACGACTGAGCACAAAGAGAAGACACCGAGCAACCAGAAATAGGACAATTCCCAAAAGCCCCCTCCCCCTTCCCCTCCTCCAAAAGCAGCCCAGCACACATATGCCAGAACAGCCGAAGAGCAGCACAACTGCAAAAAGAATGGGCATGAGAACAGGCCACAAACTAGGCAAATTGAAAGACCTCATGGACTCGGTAAGACACACAACTGAAAGCCACACAAGGGCGCCGTGGACCGGGCACAGCAAGAGGCGAGGCGAGGCCAGGCCAGGCCACCAAAACTCTGGGTGAGCCCCAACACCCGTGCGCCCAAAATTATTCCATAAATGGTTGCACAGCCACCCGAGAAGCAGCAAAGAACCAAATGGCTAGAAAGGGTTCAAAGAAGACTGCAGACTGGTGAGACAATGACACAGCAGACAACCCACAAGGAGTTACCGAGGCAGAATGAGAGATACAAAGGTTGCAGCACAAAGTGCCACCAAAGATAACACATAACGTACCTCTGGCCAAGCCAACCAGGGGACCCCTTCAGAAGCCAACTGACTTGGACTCTGCTAGAAGAGGAGCCAACATGAACATACAAGATACCCAAGAGGGTCTAAGGAACAAAACTCTGGACCAAAGGGGACACTGGAAACTAAGCAGAAGAAAAAGAAAGAACCTGACCAGGAAATGGAACAGGCTTAGGTGGTGTACTAGCAGGCCTGGGGCACACAAAACAGCCTGCAAAATGAAACAAAAGCAGCATCAACCCCAAACGCAAGCCGCAGCGGCTCCGCCAATACCACACAAGAGGGGACAGTATTCAGAAGAAACTGACCAAAAACAGACAAGACAGAAAGGAGAGTACACCATGCTCAAACACCAATGAACCACAAGGAAGAGAAAGAAAGTGGCAAAAACAAGAGCCACAAATCTCTCACTGTTACTACAAAGTCACAGGTAGAACACTTTCCGAGAAACCACCATCCCGCTGGAAAATGGCGAGAAGAATGCATCAAAATCCCAGATGTGAATAGCAAAGGAGAAGGACAGGCTAGCGAAGACTAACACCGGCTGATCCACTGAGAAGCGGAGCCGTGGAAATTGGCCGGAACTAAGAAGCACCTAAACCAAGCTGAGCCAGCCACCAAGGCACTGGGAAGGCTCCTGAAGCAGACCCCAGCCATGCAAGGAACAGGAGCCAAAGCTGGCCGGGGGGGGGAGGGGGTGATGAGAGGGGCAAGGCCCACGTACTGCCACTTGAAGAAACCAGCCAAAAGCAAATGCAGCAACCCACCAAACACACACCGAAACTACAACGTTGGTACAACGTTCGAACAAGTTTTAACGCCACCTAACCAGTTATAACAACCAATATAGCAAGTTGTAACAACGTTCTAATACGTCATAAACACGTTAAGCCAAGATGTAACAACTTTATTACAAGTTGTAACAAGCGGAAAATAGACACAGTTACGGTTTGTGTTTCCAGGGAAGAGCCTCACAATGCAATGGGGAATGGAGCCGAGCATATGGGGAAGACAGAAACTACAGTAAAGGGGTGAGGCCAAGAAGAGCAACCTGGGGAATAGGAAAGAAATTGGAAATCTGACCCCGAAGACAAGAGACCCCATCAGAAACACCAGCAGACAGCTAAACACCAAGAGCCCAGCAGAGGCCCAGACACAGTGCCCAGCCTCTAGGAACTAAACAATGAAAGAGAGCAATGAAACCCCCTTTTCCCAGAGGAATAGGGAACACTAGTGAACCCCAAAGGAGCCAGAACACAGAGCCATGCCCCCCCCCCCCACACACACAGTACAATCCACATGAATGCAAACTCATGTTACATAAAGCCAAGGAAAACACCTGGGAAGAAATGCAAAAGCCCAAAGAAGAAGCCAGTGTCACAGCAGCCAGTGAGGGTCAACAGAGCCTGTCCCTAAATGAGCGTCACACTGGCAAAGGCCACTGAGAATTAAAAGCGCAGGCACATGCACAATTGCCCAGCCAACTGCCGAGGCACCTAGGGCTGATCCAAAACCTACAGACTGTGGAACAGCAGTCAGGTGCAAGGCCGAAGCTGGGACAGAATTAACAGAGACTACCATCAGCCCAACAGGAAACAGAACCTGGCAACCCAGGAAGACCCCTTGAATCTTGACTAGCAGACACAGAGACAGCTGGGAGCTCACCCCAGCCAGCTGTCAAGGTAAGCCAAAACACGATAACAAGCCACAATGACCCAAGGCAAGCGTGTGAACATGCAAGGAGCCAAACTGAAAAAACTTCTTCAAAGGCACTTTTTTACTGAGGCACTGCACAGAGGCAAGTCAGATGTCAAGTTGACTCACCCCATACATTCCAAAAAGAGCTAAACCCTAACCAAAACATGGACGAGCCAAGATATATCCAAGAAGTCGAGGTAATCAGCCAGGAGGAGACCCTAAGAAGAAGACCAACTGCAGACTAAGTCAGCAGCTGAAGAGTGGCAAGAGAAAACCAGGACAGCAGTGAAAGCAACCTGTCCTCTAACAAAGAACGTAGCATTTCGTTCGTATGCATTACCATGAGGCCAAAAATTGCCGTACTGTGCTTGAAAATGGAAGCCGTGCGTGAAAGTGACGTACTGTCCCATTTTCTGTTTTGGATGCTCTGATAGATTAGGAGAGAACACTTTAATTTTACCATTTTCTTGACGTTGGGAAACCTTAAAGAGGATGGGCTGGTGAAAGACAAAAGACCAACAAACCACAGGACAGAACATGGAATACGTGGGGAAACCCTACTGAAACGACAAAGTTGAAGCGGCCAACACTGGAGCAACCTGTGCCAAGGTGACCTGAAACAGGCGAAAGGAGGAGGCCCACTCGGAACCCACCCCGCCACCTCCGAACAAGGGGGGAAGGGGAGGGGAAGGGTGTCCAACCACAAAGTGAACCTAGGGGAATACAAAAATCCCAGAAAGTGGGAAGAGAGAAAAAGTGCGTGCTAGCATGAATGGAAGAAGCTGCCCACACAAGAGGGAGAGCCTAGAACCAACCAGATGGATAATAGGCCAGGAACACTGGAGACCTGACATCTGACTCCCCAGAAAGCCTACCTTGGCCCACAACAGGCAATGCCTCAGCCCAAACCAATCGCCACGAAACGAGAATGAGGACATGGGGGACATAAACCCCAAATGTGTGGAGAAGCAGCAACACAAAAGAACATCAACTCCCAACACGGCAGAAAGAGCTAGAAAAAAAGTGGACAGGAGAGTCAGGGCCAACGCCAAACCAAAGAAAAGACCAACCAGTCAGATACCCCAAAAGAGGACATCAAGGAATTGGCCACTGCCACCAAGAGTACGGGAACAAATAGCATGAAACGCAGTGGATTCAGTAAAGGTGGAAGCCAAGCTCCACCTAAGAGCTGCAGAAAGCAGCTCAGAGAGGTCCAGGCACGCATGAGAGGAACCCAAATGCAGACGAGCACAAAGGCGAAATGCCATAAGTATCACAGAGAAGAACAGAAGGCCAGCTGCATGAACCCCACACTCCAAGATGGGCAGAAGCAAACACCACATGAGGCATCATGAAGGGGGGCCCAAGAGGTAAGCACCTGTGGGGCACCAACCTCAACAACCCAATGCCCACAGGACTGAACCCAAGGGAGAGTCACACACAATCAGAACATACAGGGAGAGGATAGATAAAGCTTACCTCCTGCAACAAAAGGCCCACCATGAAAGGCACAACAGCCAACGAAAGCCCATAGGAGCCCAAGGGGGCCCGCAACCAACTCCCACTGCCCTGGGAACTGAATCAGAGGGCACCAGGGGAGAACCAATGTCTATGCCCATCTGCCAGGACAGAGAAGCAGTGGGTGGCAACATGGGTTAACAAACCTATATTGCATTGATTTTACAAGATTGTTTGCTGTGAGAAAGTGAATGATTTTTCCCCTCAGGATTCTCTCCAGAAGCATGGGAAGGAAAATAATGCTACTTTTCATATTTTGAACCCTTTACTTTATTCGGCTGCTACCTCAAAACCAGCACACTCAGATAAATTGTCAAAAGGGTAGATACCCAAACATTGAAAATCTTGCATAATTAACAGTGAAAGCTCTTTTTGCCTAACAAGAAATTGTCCGATTAGGGAAAAGAACGGTTGGGATAAGAAGCAAGAGGCAGTATTGTACTGTCAAAATATTTTTTTGGCAAACAGATCAAATCTACATATCATAATAGGGTGGCAGATGTACAAGAGAGCCATTATTTATAAAAGCTCAAGCCTTATCATGATCCCTGCAGGAATGAGGAAAAATAAATAGGTCACCACGGGCATGTCTCCAACCACAGACCCTACTGCTGGTATTAAGATATGTACCAACCAAGAGAACAAAGTAATGCCCTGCATCCTAACAAGGAAGAAGGCATAAGACTAGTCATGAAATACCAGGAACTCCACCTCGGAAACAACCAAAAGTTTACAACATGAAACTGAAAGTGGATCAGTCTCCACCAATAACCTTCACAGCTGGATATTATTCAAGCAAAACCCAAGGTGGATACAATAAATCAAGTAGGCAACAAACAAGCACTTTCACATGGCAATCCATATAGATGCCTAATTACACAAATGAGCCCGATTAAAAGCCAGCAATACCTGAAAGTGGAATTTAATATAGACTAAATGCCCTGAAATTTTAACAAAAATACAAAACAATGCTCAATGTAGCATAAATTAATTAATTCAGTTAATGTGTATAACACAAAAATGGGTGAAAAGTGGAAAGAGGCCATGAATTCGAACCTATGTGCTGTGTGTTCCCAGGCACACACTCTTAGACAATTATACCACGACATATACCATGTCATAGCATAGTTGTCTAGTGCGTGTGCCTGGGAACACCCAGTGCATAGGTTCGAACACCTCATTACGGCTCCTATAGGTTTGCTTATTAAGGCCATGAATTGCCATGGTGAGCTATAATGCTATAAAGTTAACTATTGTTATTATTAAACAGAATTTAAGCCTGTAGCCCATTGCTGGGTTATTCAGTGCTAGATGCATAATGAAAGTGAAATGCCATAAACTTGCAGACTTACTTGCAGCATATGCTACAGCCTGGCCATGGTTTCCACTGCTGTGTGTTACCACTCCTGGGCTATTCGGATTTTTCTCCTTCTCCAGAAAAACCTGTAGATATAGGTTATATAACAACTCCTAATTTCACTAATTATGGAAAGTAAAATTTTAACATAGCAATATAATGATTAGTGTTTTAACATATCCGTGAGTCCTTTTTTTCGGTGAGTGGAGGTTGGGGGGGGGGAGGCACCATTGTTCTTTATGTCCTCCTGAAGATGAGGTTTCCATGCTTGGATACAGTAATCCAAATGGGGGTGCACCAGAGATTTAATCACTACCTTCTTCTCTATAACCCTGAAACCGTGCAAAACATACATATACGATTTGACATAACTCAAGTTTTTAAAACTTTGTGTATAATCAACCAGGCAAATGCTTCAATTTTGTCTAAATGATCACAACGTAGTTTGAAAAACAAGAGAATCATAAATAATTTTATAATTGAATACAGTATTGAAAACTTTAGATTTTCAAATCAGAATAAAAAATATAATCTATCACCAATTGTTCATTTGGTGTTATTATTCTCTCAGAATAGCACATGATCTTCAGTTTCATCAAATTAGAATATATGTTTTCAGTATAGTTTACTGTAAAAAAATATTGTCAATATGGCATTTGAAATATGCTGCAAAATTAGACCGAAAAAATTATAAATCCAAACGTATAAGGGTTTATGAAAAATACATTCTGAAGGGATTGTAGAACAGACAGCTGAGCACACAATACTGTATGTCAAAATGGTGAGAATTGGTCAAAAGCCGGAATTTTAGAAGTCACTCTAGGTTTCAGTTTTAGTTGAAACTCTAGTTTCAGAGATAATTGAAGTTAAAGTTATCGACAATGAATAAAGGTAGTTCTAATTCGTTAATTTATTTGAATGTTTTAATAAACATTGTTTGGCATTCGTACTTGAATATGTGAAAGTTGTAGGTCAATGTGTGTTGAAATGCAGTCAAGAAAAAATCCCCCCAACCCCCCAAAAAATATATATATAGGGATAATTATAATCATTTTAATGATTTAGGGGATATATTTAGGGTATACTTGATATAAGTAAAAAAGCCCTAATCTGGTCCCTATCATCAAAAAACCTAAAGAGACAAAGAAAATAGAGTTTGAAATCTGAGGAAAATCAGCCAAAAAAATTCAGTCCTAAGTTCTGAGAGTTATGACTGATTTATTTGTTGACCAATTTCATTCTATCTTCACATAGTTAGGGAAGGGTATGCACTCTCCAGGATGTAAAGGTTACAACAAAATCAGACAATAAACAAAGGAGAAAAAACTAAAATCTTAAAAAATATCAGCGTTGAATGTAATGAAACGCCATTTTCTGGGCGAGTCCCGGAGGCTCCTGGGAGCTATCCAGGCTGAGTGGATATTATTGGAAATTTCCAACACTAAATACAACACTGTTATATTATTATTAATTATTACTAAATCTACTAATCATTGTAGTGATTAAAATTAACCAAACGTAGAGTTCACATGTACTAATAATTACATCTGTACAATAAGGCTAGAATTCTTACGTCACCAGACGCCAGTATTGTGTCAGATTCCATTATAATAAACACAACTATATCCAGTGTGTCTGAGAATTGAATTTGATTCTCTATAAAACAAAGGTTTTCTGTGTGATAATTAATTGCAGATAAACTGATCCCCAACTAATGCCAAATAGAGCGTTTATAGTTATAACTGTTATCTGGTAATAAATTTAACGTCACGCGTGAATGCCCTGGAGAGACTTTAATTCATCTCCATTGCTTGTTTACCATCGTAAAACGGGCAAATAATAATATTTAACTTCTCTGAATAATAAACCCGTCCTTATCCGAGCATTTCAATCACAACTGCGAGAAATGATAATATTCGTAGTAAATAATTTGTGTATCAAACGCGGGACGCGGAGCGGGGCAGGGGAGACACGAGTACACGAGGTGACGCGCTCCGAGAGAGACGCCATTACCCAAGCCACCAGGGTAGACGCCACCAAGAGCTCCAGAAGAAAGTCGCCACTGTGAGGTGTGAAGAACTTTGCAGACAACAACTTAGCTGGTGTCAGTGTCACTTTACACATCGTGTTGAATTGTCAAGAGATTTAATTTGACATTCAATCAGGAACCCGTTAAATTTGTTCCGTGTAGCACAACGTGACCGGCCAGATAAGCGCGTCAACATCTAGGCTAGGCTCGACACCACGTGATCGTTACAACGACGCCTGAACCTAGGACGCGAACTTCGGCAAGCCTTAACTTACACAGTGCCCTATTAGCTAAGTACCTTTATTCCCATTTGATGCATTATCTAGGAGGGGGTTATAGCTGGGTAGCTTGTCGTCACGCAGAGCGACTATAAAAAACCACAGGTTATTATTTACCTCTATTATTTAATTTAATTTCTTGAACATAGATGTCTAGTAGCTTAATCTGTTGCTACTGAATATAATTTGATTTACAGCGTGTGTGAAGAATTCCCCGAGCTGTCATTTCCCGTGTTAATCATCTCCCAGTGTTCCATGATGAGTCCAGGAGATTCCGAGGATGAGTCGTAACCGACTTCTTGGAAATCGTCTTCAAGCTAAGACCCTTTCCGTATTCCTTAAATTCCATTATCTGTAGTATTATTCATGCAGAGCACTGTTTTCTTTGGATTGACATGTGTTTATTATAATTATTAATTTCTCATGTTCATAATCTATGTTCTTATTGGTGACAAATACAATGATTCTATAATTGGTCATAGGATTAGATTATTGCATAATGAACTGGTGCATGAACCACACTAGTTCCTGGACATATATGAAGTTCCAGTAATAACCCCCCAATGTAGGTGTTTGAGGCTTTGATTCAGTTAAATTATACAGCCCATTAATTTATATAAGTGATCATATTCTCTAGTATTTATCCATAGTTACTGGTTCATCTAGGAATTTTCTAATGATCATAATTTATTAGTTTCCCTCTTTACTATAAAAGCGGGTGGTCCTTCGTAATAGAATTTCATTACATTAATATTCAAATAAATAGAGTCAAGCCCCAAATGTCCCACAGATATGTATAACTTTTTGGCATCAGTCAATGCATGGAGTTCTTGCCTACCGGGGACCACGAGCCAGAACCTGCCCCCCCTCCCTCTAGAGAGGCATGAGGAGCAATGGCCTACAGAGACCCCCCCTTATGATTGGGAGCATTCAATGTCTGCCATCGACCAGGATAGGTACCCAGAGAGGTAGGTGCCCCAAAACAAACCCCTATTCTGGTAAACTATTGCGACCAAAGACCGAACAAGTGGACAAAACTCCCCAAACGAAAATTAACAAACAAGCATGACGTCATCATGTGTTGCTGCACCGCTGTCTGCGCAACCTCCCCCCCTCCCTGGGTGGGGGAAGGGGGGGAGCCCCAGACCCCACCGTCGGCGACCCAATCATTAGCTCTTAGGCTGGATGTCAAAAACGCGAAAACACTGCCGACGGGAGGGAGGGAGGGATGCTGGGGAGCCTCTGGGACTCGCCCAGAAAATGGCGTTTCATTACATTCAACGCTGGTTTTCTGGGGGGAGCCCCGTCGGCTCCCCGGAGCTAACTACCCAAAGATAAGGAAAAAAAACAGGGACTTACCCAGGAGGCAGTCCGTCCTCACTGCTCGACGCGAAGTTGAGACAACTGGCTGCAATCGCCGACCCAATGCAATGCAGGCCCAACCAGGCCCACGAACATTCACCAGGTAGCAAGCGGCTAGGACCCTGTTCTATCTCCAAAAACCCCAGGCCCGAATGTCCACCCAAGACATGTTGCCAAAGACGGCAGCCAAAGCAGCAAATTTACGAATGTCGTGGGCCCGGGGAAAAACTGCAAGCTGGCTACACATAACCCTGCGGACGACCTGAGAAACCCGAGCCCGGGAACAGGGAAGAAGGACAACCAGATCAACCCAGAGCGCATCCCTGGCAACCGAAGCACACAAATAGTGGCAGAGAGCCGCAACCGGACACAACACATGATGCACCCCCGGCCTGACCAACCAAGCATCAACAACCCACGGCCCCCTCCGGAACGCAGCCATCTCATTCTTCGCCAGAAAAGAGGGAGACAGTTGCAAGCGAACAAAACAACCACCAGGACCGAAAGAGCAGAAACCTCTGCGCCGGAGTAGAGCATGAAGCTCCCCAACCCGACCCCCAGAGGCCAATGCCAAAAGGAAAAAAAGAGCCTTAAAAAGACAATCCTGAACGGAAGGGGCCACAACAAACCAAGGAGAAGAGAGAAACGAGAGCACGCGGTCCAAGGACTAAGATGGCTCAGGCAGCGCATGAGCAGGCCGGAGGTGAAGCAATGCACGAGACAACTTGTGAAACGGGGCAGAAGTAACATCAACACCGAAAGCAAGCTGAACCAGCTCCGCCAATGCCGCATGATACGAGGCGACAGCATTCAGCATAAGATGATGGTCCTGAAACAACCAAGAGAGAAAGGACAGAACAACCCTATCAGAGACCAAGGAATACCGACGCAGTGATGGGAAAAACAGGAAGGACTGCCAGGAAACTTCATATTGCCGCTGAGACAGCACGCAGGTGGGAGACCAACAACGAAACCACCTGCGCACCATATAAGGAATGATAAACCCGAGTCAAAAACACCAGACGTGAAGACTCGAGGAGAAGACCGAACCAGCCTAGTACAGGGCTGGACCGATCCTGAGCCTGATCATTGATCCGCAAGCAACTCGAACCCTCCAGAGCGACATCCACACCGCTGCAAACTCCCGGACCGTGCTGTGAGCCTGACGGAAGGACAGACCCCACTGCCCCTGGCCGGCCTGGTGAGCACTGGTCACAAAACCCCAGCCAAGAGACGGGGTTTTTTGGGGTTCGGTGCCAAGCCCGAAAAACCCGAAGAGGAAGCCGGCAACATAGCAACCGAGGCAAAGCCCCCGGAGGCCGAACCCAACGATCGCGAGAGAGGCGGAAGGGCTGTCCCCGAAGGAACCAGAACAGCCGACGAAGCCACACCCGACCCGGCGGGTAGACCATCATGG